CAGTTGGCGTAGGGGGTACTAAAAAAGGATGTGGAATTTGATTGTGGTGGTGGTACACAGTAATTTTCTGTTCTTCCTGTCTCTTGACAAATGGGGTTACCAGCAAGTCTGCACAAATTAATAAAATTCAGTGAGCAAAGAAAGACATTTAGAAGATTTAACATTTAAAAAGGATACGTCTAAAGGCAATTTGACCTCCAAGTAATAAGAGCCAAGATCTTAAGCAAAAACAAATTAATGGGACAAAAAACCCAGAAGAAATGATTCTCTCACTTTATCTCAATGTTGTGTTCTCCTGTTTCATTGAAATCAGTAATGTCATTATTCTGCAAATCTATGAGCCTCAGCTGGTTGCTAAATTTCGTGCCTATATACAAGGTGCCACTTAACGAGTTGTCTTTTAGTCCTCTGTACAAAGTAACAAAGATAGAAATAATTAGCCTCCAGCTGTCATCTCCATGGTTTGAATCAACAGGATACATTTCACCATAGTTGTGAACACCCATCTCAAGGAATGGTAGTGCCTGAAGTGAAGCTGCTACTCACACAGTCTGCAAATTTGGAAGGCTGAAGAGGTCACTGGAAAATTGACCTTGAAGTTGAGTCCCTTCCATCCTCCTGCCTTGCAAAGAAATCAATGGTTCTTTTAACTTGATAGGAAACCCGTCAATGTGGATGCATACAGGCATATGGACATATGGGCATGTGGGCATGTGTCCATGAACATGCAGAAAACAAAGTAATAGGGCAAGGAAGAGAGGGAAGGAAAGAGGGAGGAGCAAAGAACACATTCAGAGATGGATTTATTGTACCATTTACTAGCCTGATTTAGCTTTACATAACTTATCACTGCTAACAGTATCATTGGGGATGGAAAGATATTCTAGGCAATAGTTTGACAAAACATATGGCCATCAGTGAAGTGACGTCAAAAGGAAGTATTTAGCTTCTGCATTTAAACTAGAAAGAGTGATGCAGATAAGGAAGGAAATACTATATTTATTAAGAGTTTATCTTTCAATAAAGATTCTGATTAAGAGTCTAATTAGTTATTAAGTCTAATTAGGGTTTTATGTTTCCTATTTAAGGTAGGTTGTATTAAGGCTATTCAGTTGACAAATTGAATTGAAAGTCTTCCAGAAATTCCCAATTCTACTATTATGAGAGAGAGAGAGAGAGAGAGAAAGAGAGATGGACATACAACGTTGTTAAGGATGACACAGATGAAACCCATGTAGGAATCACAGAGGTATTGAAGCTATTATTACTCAAGTCCCTGCACAACATGATCATATTATTAGAATGAAAATCAGTGACAACAGTATGGGGTTATATGAATAACAATTTCAGCTGAGACATAAAGTGCATGCATTGCAGACACATAGGAAAGGAAGAAAAAGACTTAGAAAAAGGGGTAGTTTAGCTATTATGTAAAGGCATACGCTGCTTACAAGGTTTTGAGACTGCTCATGCCAAGAAGGGGGGGTAAAGTGCCGCTCAGTTTATTGTTAGACAAATAACTGAAAAGAAGTTTACAAAACATTGTCTATTAGGGAAGATAAATTAATAAATGCAAAGACTGCTTATCTTCCATCTTTTGCATGCTTACAGATCAGTAAGATTTTTGAGATTGTTGAGGTTTGATGGAACACTCCCACTTAAGTAATTGTTATCAAAACGTCTACAGCCAAAACAATAACTTGTTCAGTCAAACCCACAGTGAAATCCAATTCCAACAATAATCTCATTACAGATCTGCTTAAGCATGTGATCTAGATACTCACACCACCAGCAAAGATTGCACAAGTCCAAGGGTTGAAGGGATAGGGCCAATGAGTTTGTTGCTGTCCAATACCCTGGCAGAAAGAAAAAGGAAAAATGAGAGCTTTCAAACATACAATAATCCAGCCTGTGATTTGATGAAAACTGAAAAGGAAGGAAAAAAAGAGGAATAGGGCAGATTTGCTACTCCACCAAACAAAAGAAGAACAAAAAGATAAGAAATAAGAACAAACTGCTAATACTAGCCACTTCTGGTCCAGAAGAATTGTCATATAGAAGGCAATATTTGTTTATTGCAGAAAATTTCCCAGGTTTATGCCCCCACTTAGATTCTTTCTGGCAACTTATGTCCTCAAAATATGATTACAGAAAAACAAAAGTGAAACTTACACATGTATCAGAGTCATGTTTGAGCTGAAAATTTGCTTTGGGATTTCGCCTGAAAGTTTATTCTTTCCCAAATGACTGTATAAAGGAGAAAACTTTAGATGATATTACTACAAAGGAAACAGAACATAATAAAACAAGTTAAACTAAGGCAGACAAGTAACATACAAGTGTTGTGTTTTGACCAACATGTCAAGGCCAGATGTAGTTCCATCTGACACTGGAATTGATCCCTCTAGCTGGTTGTCAGACAGATCCAGCCAATTTAGCATCAATAAATGACCAATAGATGGTGGAATTTGTCCACTGAATTTATTGGAATTCAGAGATCTGCAGGAAATGATAGGTTTCAGAGATGTTGGTTCCAGGATAGAACTGCTCTGATTAAAAGACGCAAAAGAATTGAAGTATCATTACAGTTCACAGGAATCACAGCAGAGCTGTACTGTGATTCCTTAGTGAACCAGCTGAACTGTGATTCCTTAGTGAACCAGCTGAACTGTGATTCCTTAGTGAACCAGTACACATTTGTCCACCAAGTTTCAATAAAAAAATAGAAGATCACCACAGCAGCTATTAAAAGTTGTAAGTTTAACTGTTATATCAGAGTAAAAGTCCTCACAAAGAGGCCAGCTGTTGTAGAGATCCTATTGTGTCAGGAATTGGACCAGTGAAACCACAATGATTAAGGAATCTGTCACAGGAGTACAAAAGCAGGTTTGAAGAGAATGGTAAACAATAAATTCTCCATAAATAGAAGACCAAAAAAAGAGGGGATAATTAGAGTAGGTGATTTACAATTTTGTTAGCTTCGTTAAATTCCCAATTGATGCTGGAAGAGGTCCTGTCAGGCCTTGGTTCTGAGATAGATCCCTGTATAAAGAGGCTTGATCAGAGATATATCAATACCTATATTATAACATCCTCCACCAAGGAATGGAAAAGGTATGGAGGTTCTTTGTGTTCTCTATTATAATCACCACTAAACTTTTTGTATATAATGCCTAAAGACAATTTGTTCACTTAAATTTAAGTGGATCTTTAGATATCTGAGCAACGCAATTGCATAAATGATTATTGTCTAGAATGGAGAAGGAACAAGTTAGTTTTGAAACAACTCCCATGTGAACTTCAGATAGAGGACCTACAAAATCTGTAATTCAGTTAAGGATGAAATGTCATCAGACAGCTGCCCTTCCAAGCCCATGCTTCCCAACATTCTGCAAAAGATGGAGGAGGTCAATCCTTAGAAGCTGGAAGATCAAGAATAAGCATTCATCCGAGAGAACAAAAAGGTGGAAATTAACCAAGAACTTACATCGAGCTGACTCGTGAATTCATGCACTGGATTCCTACCCAGCCATCACCACAGGGATCTGAGCCCACCCAATTGGGGGGTAAGTTCCTCCAGATATTCTTGACAGAATTTAAAGCAATAACTGCAGCAGAATCAAAAAGGTAGTTTCACTTGATAAGGCAGTATGAATTTTGGAGTTTGATTTTCCAATGATCCAAAATCAATTGAGTCCTTAAAGAAGTTTATAACCTTCAATTTCAAAGAAATTTAATTGCTTTCTGATGGCATAACTCTTCAGAGGTTTTGCCAAACAATTTAAAGGTATAACCAATTAAGCACGGAAGAATCAAGACTCGCCAAACTTTTTCATATGTACCAGAAAGAACATGGGAATTTAAAAGCAAACTTTGTAGATCACCTCCCATTTCTAGCCTTGGTAACCCACACAATAACCAGTTTAATAAATTGCGAGGGTAAAAATAAGTAATCAACAAATGAAGATCATGTTAATAATCATTTAAGAAGCTTCTGATATTCAGTATTGACTCCTTGTTTCCTCCAAATGAAAATGATAAAGAACAACGTCTGCAGAAATCTCCCATTACCCAAATCAACAGAAGTTTTATTAAACATTGTAAGAACGTAAGAAATAATAATCAGCAAACTTACCATCGTGATTATCAGTAACTGCTGCTATGATGTAAGCTTGGATAAAAACAACCAGAAAAAGCAACTGAATTCTTGGTTCCATTTTTTGAACAAACAAAAAACTTCAAACTTCAGAACTTGGCAATTCTCTCCCTTTCATGTTTCTAGTGTTGCATCTACAATCTATGGAGACATGAAAAAGAAAGAGGTGGGAATTGGGTTTAATCAAATTCAGAACCTAATCTATCTCTGATATATCAGAAAACAGGGATAAAAGAGGGAGCACCATATATAAACAAAGTGAATATCATAATTCTAAATGACAGAAATAGGAGAAATGAGCTAAAAAAATATCAAATAGATTTTGATTGGGTATCATGTTTCATCAGGTTGTGACATCATGGTCCCATGCAGTTCAATTCAGTTCTCTATGTATTGTCATTTTCCGTATTAATAACAGGCACAGGGTACAATAGTCGGGTCAAGCAAGTTGCGACAAAATAAGAGGAATAAAGAAGATCATATTACTTTCCGCAATTGGCGCTGACCCAAGTCAACCAACTGACCCAGTAAACGGTGTGTATCAGGAGTCTATGGAAAAGAATCCAGTCAACCCACCAATCAAACAAACTGCATCTACAACCCTCCCATCCTATAACAACACAAACTCAACTATCCATTCTTCAGCGGACACCTACTGCTCAAAACAATCCAATACGTAATATACATACAAATTATAAATTCAGAGTTCAAACTATGCATTCTATACCTCGAAAATAGGCAAATGGGAATAAAATGTTATTCACGAAGCGAAGAATCCATGAGCCATCCCAAACTCCATAGCTCTCCTTTAAAGAAACAAAAAAGAAAAAGAAAAAAAAAAAGCTATCAGCTGTTAAAATAAACGCTGCAGATTGAATTGAACAATCATTCTCCAGATCTAGAAAATGTAAGTTTCAACTGCAAAACAAGAGTCACTGTCCCTCATCTTCTGCCCTCGTTCCCTCAAACCAAACATACCCTAGAGTTGAAATCCATGGCGATGGAGGCAGTGTCTTGGTGTGGGTGAGGCTGCAGAGCCATTCAACCTCGAGGATACAGTGTGCACTGTGCAGCAACGGGCTCCGGCCTCTTATCCGCTGTTTTGGTATCCCAGCTGTTTAAAACTACCAATATTAACAATTATTAACAATTAAATTAGATAAAAATCCACAAAACATACGAAAAGTTATTGGGTTTATGGATAGGAGAGGGTAAAGGTGTATTAAATTAAAATATATTTTTTATTATAAATTTATATTAAAAAAGTAATTTTTAATTTATTAAATATTTAATTAAATTTATTTAATATTAAAATTAATATCAATTTTTATATTTTTTATATATATTTATAATAAAAAATCTAATAAATATATTTTTATCTTTTGATAGAAAAACCCAAGGCTTTTTTATGATTGTAGTTTCTTTTATATTAATTAATATTAAAAAAATTAATTAATTATCAAATTAAAATAATTTATATTGCTTCATTAATGAAATTAATAATAATTTTTATATTTTTTAATATAGTAATTATAACTTAAATGTAGGTTACAAAAATCTTATATGAAATAACAAACACGCACGAAGACGAGCATCAATCAAATCTCAGTATTATTTACTTCATTTCATTGATGTTTTAAGGGTTTTTTTAAAAAAATTTTAATATTAATATTAACTTTTGTATTTTAAATTTTTTATATCAATTAAAAATTAAATAATATAAATTCCTTTTTAGAAAAAGAAAAAAAAATATATTTACATGGCCAACTAAAACATATGTTATAAATACATATCATTAATGGAGGATAAATTTAAAATTAATTTTTTTATATAAATTACAGAGCATCGCCGGGTCGCTGGCTCTGAGCTCTGCACTACATAGCCGAGAAAGAAGAAGACGAATAACATGGAGAAGGGAAAAGCGGTGATGGGGTCGGGGCGGAGATGGGCCGTTGATTTCACCGATAACTCCACTGCTCCTTCTTCTCGTGACATTCCTGATCCTCCTGGCTTCATTCGCGCCTCTATTGATCAGGTTCCCCTCCTTTTATCTCCGTTCTTCATTCGCGTCGTGTTCTTGAAATTTATGATTGTTCGAATTTCAATCCTTTTTAATCCGTAGGATGATTCGGCACTCAGCCGGCAAAAGAAGGATGCCGAAGCTAATTGGAAAGCTCAGGTAATTTTTGTATCCTCTTTGTTTGATGCACTTGTATCGGGGTTAAGTTTGGACTCAGTTGCTGCTGTTAATCTTGCTGAATTAGTTCATTCGTTTGATGGGAACATGTGGGTTGTGCTTAGAAAAGGTTAAAAGTTGTTTAATTTAGATCTCAAGGGAGTTGAAATTGTTATGTTCGAGCTGAGATGAGATGAGGTGAGATGAAATGAAATGAAATGATTCACTGAGTGGACTATTAATTTGATTAACTGATAAACTGACAAGTTGAGGATTGCACATCAATTGAAGTGGCAGTGGGAGCAAATGAAGTTGTGAAATGTTGTAGCCTGTGGTTATGTTCACAAACAATGAGAACAAGCACTAATGGACGTATTTGTGACTATAAAAAGTTTGATTCCTATACAGCATTGTGCTTGTAGTCTGTAGGAGTAGGAGATAAATTCTTAATCTGACTATAGATGTTAACTGGTG